GAATCTAGTACCATCGCTAAATATTTAGATAAATCTTAAGTAGAAGTAGTTCTAAGGTCTATTATGGGTCTAATAAGATAACCTGGCCCATGAATTTTAATAGTCGACGAATATCTATTGCTTCGGCATAATGAGTTGATGTAGTAATAATCTTTTGATTGATAACATGAAAAGCTGTACTGTAATTGACACCATGAATTGTATCGAGGATATGTGTGGCAATGATGCTGCTACATGGTCACGTGGCACATATTCAGAGATAATTTTAACTGGGACTCTCTTTGTTCTTTGGATGTACAAGCTACTTCAAGGACAAGTAAGTAGAGATTGAACTGAAGGTAATACAACGAAGGCCCAACTGTTAATCATTTTCTTTGTGTATATTCTTTATGGTGTAGATAGATTACTGTTGATTGCGTATCTCAATTTGTTATTCATCGTAGACTGACATCAGTTGAAGGGACACAAGAAATATTTCCAAATCTCCACAACTCCCTCAAAAAAATTCGATTGCGTATCTACCAATCAATAATGAATGAATTCAGTTCATCGCCTTTGAATGGTAGCCTAATTTAATATGTTTCCTTCTGAATAATTTTTCCAATCCTTTCCTCCTTTTTAGTTTCAAAATAATAATCAAAGAAATTTGTGAGATATCTGTTATTCAAAAAAGGTTTTGTGAACTTTTTTCCAGTTCACTGTCGACTAAATGTTCGGAACATAATCTGATTCCATGCCCCCACCCCAGATATAAACTCATCATTAATGACAGACGTGACATGCCCTTAAGAAAATGGTTTGTTACTACGGTTAGACAAACAGATACACAGATGAACAAAATCAACGTAGAACCTCATATACAACTGCATTGGTTATAGTTGCTACACTTCACAGTAGTATACAAAGAACAGGTGGATAGAAAAAGAATGATAGTAAAATGGACAAAGCTGTGTGAGAGAATAAAGGATTAGAAGACAAAGGCAAGTGCAATTATTCAAGTATTAGAAGATGACAAAGAGTTAATACATCTTTCCTGTTGTGACCGGTTTTCACTCATGTCAACTAGAGTCTCCAGCTTCAGTTTCTTATAGTCTAGGGGACATCAATGAGGCAGTCTACGTCTCCCCTTACGCAGCTCAGGCCAACAGTAGGAGACTTCATAGACTTTTTTAATATCTTGGTCTGGCCACCTTGAACCCTCTTTCAACTTCCCCTGGAACGGCACGTTGAGTTGGTGGTAGCTTAGCATTCGTAACTGATGAAGCTTTACAACCACATCCATCCATCAGCCTTACCCTTGACCTCAGCATTTCCCAAATAGTGATTCCATCAAAGGTCAGCAATATTACTAAGACACCTGTGATTAAAACCATATAACCTCTTCATATCTTCTACTGTTTACAATCATCTCTCACAGATGTATTACAGGACAGAACAGATTGTAGTGTAGTATACTGGTCGTTTAACAGGTAGTCAGACATCTTGCTGGCGCCTCAGATGAGGCAAGCTGGTAAATGTTAAATGGGTCTTCTGCATCACAGCTAAAATTTTATCAACAATCAGCCAATTCGGACTGATGCAACTTCCTAAGTAAGTGAAGCTAGTATGATTCATGTCACCCTATAGAGTCATAATCCTTCAGTAGACAATATTTTGGCTGAACCACTGACTAACTTATCGTCTGTCTAACCACTAAATTATTTATTTATTCCATAGATTAATTTCACCTAGTCAAAAGAACCGGAGTATATATTGTTATAATATTCATCCCAAAAATGTGAACACCAGAAAATAACAGATAACTCAGTATTAAACGCTGTAAGCATGAGTAAACTTTGAGGGAAAAATCAACAATTTAATAACACTTCCTGTCACGGTAGATGCACCTGCATTCTCATTACCATTATTATTATGATTATTATTATTATGTTATTATTACATTTAGCTACAGCAAATCTTACAATCAAAACTAAAAAACCAGTATTTTGTCAAAATGAAACTAGTTTCACTTCCGATATTTCATACCACTGAGTTCCTTCCCTCTCACAAGTTTTGTTCTCTTCAACTGTGTTATGTGACTCGTCAATATAAGTAAAGATAATAATAATAATAATAATATCTTTATTCATGGCATTTTATGGGTAAATAATTAGAAGAAATTTTACCTGGATGGATTACTTTAGAAAAAAACAAAATGATCCATCAGTTAGCAGTGTCACTAGGTTATTTTATAGAAGAAGCGGTTTTAATGTCATATCCGGAAAACACTGACCGTATCAATATCATCAAGTATTAACATTTGTCAATATCACTTTCGGTGTGAAAGAAATTTACTTACTGATGGAATAAAACTATTTACCAACATGAATGATGAATCAGTATGAATTTCCTTCCCCTGCCCCCACATTTCTCTTAATGAACGGAACGATTCTGATTCCACAATATCTGTCTGTACTTTTCAGTCTCATCTTCAAATCTTCAAATGTAAGAGTAAAAATGTTAGTATAATTGCTTGTATTATACCGTCGTTGATTGGACGGATGCTTCAACATTACCTGTTTTTTAATCATAGAAATGATGGATAGTGGCTAGTAGTGGAATCCAGGATGCACATTTCTTCCTATTTGGGACTTGTCGTCTGGATGTACCTGCCTCCCAATGAGTCATGTTACTCCTACAGGGATTCAGAATAGGAAGCGACCGCTCCAAATGCCAGAGCGTTATCCACAACACCATCGAGCCATGATTGTCACTTCTTGTGCGGTGGGAACAAAGTCACTCACTAGGAGGCAGGTACATCCAGTTGACGAGTTCCAAACAGGACGAAATGCGCATCCTGGATTTCACTGCTAGCCATTATTCATCATTACTATAAGATAAAAAATAACTAAAAGTTCGTCTGACTAGACGAAATGTTGACGATTAAGATGTCAGTTATTTTTTGAGGCTTTTAAAGGAGTTCATAATTCATTTCCACGTACAACAAGTTCATGAAGGAACTTTTTGCACAGAATTTGTACATAAGTCGATCATTTGATGTAAACTGATCTTAAATCCTGAGTAATCAGAACTAACTGAAATCTGTAAACCAATTCAACAATATTCATATTAAAGTAAATGATACGATGCTATGATGTACTATATTTCGATGTTGGATGTTACAATGTAACATCACTTAGCTAATAGGTGGTCACGTGGCTGACTTCATTGACAAACTTCAATAGGTGCTAAGGTATTAGAACTCAGTGATAACATCCGTTACTGGCTAGCTAAAGACTCATTTGGTGTATTTAAACAGTCTTTTACTGCCTGATTAGCTGAATGTAAAACTGTTTGACGTTAGAACTGAGTATCACGTACTTGAACAACTGACAGAAAACCTGTTTACTTATGGTAGCAGATATATGAGCACTGCCATGAAGAGAAGGCAATAGTCCTAGCGCTTTATGACAATTTAACTGTGTTAAATACTTTGTCGAACTGTGTAGTCAAGAATTCAAGGTTGGCTAAGAAAAAAATCCTTTTTGGTAAAGAAAAATGAAGATGAGATTTTTACGATTTTGTTGTACGGCAGTATTCATCACCGGCTAACATCATTTGGAGAGCCACTGAAGACTAGGGAGCACTGGACAGCTGTTTCATTATAGTATAGGAGCCCTCACTTATTTGCACCGACGACCCCAGCTGCCAGCAGTCGAACTCAGGATGTTCAGGTTTCCTCCCAACCATTAGTTTGAAGTTCAATGATCCATACCTTCCTGCTTCAGTCCTCACCAAATTCACCAGTTGGTATCCACTTCACTTCTGACTGGTTACCACAGTAGACCACAGCTTCGCATTAAAACTTCGGGTTATTTATGTTGAGATATGTTACTAATGAGCAATAAACACTAATGTATTTTGAAGTGAATTGGGATTTCATTTTTAATGATTCTCCAACTGATATCAGTCCGCAATGAATACTGCCCCAAAATAGAGATTAACACTGTTGTAAGATTATTAACAACTTTGAGTTAACTTGTAGCTACCTTCTAAGCTTTCAACAATAACAATTGGCAGTAAAATATGAGATTGATGAGTCAACCAGAGTTATACAATCCCTAAAGTGTTTCTACTAAAATTTCACTTGTTTTCCGAAGTAATGTCAAATGTCTAATCAAAATTTAATTGGGTAACCAGAGAATTTTATCATGCAACAAATATGCAGAAGGAAGTGGAGATGGATTGGGCATACACTGAGAAGGCCGACTGGGGACATCACGCGTCAGGCCAGACACTCGAGTGGAATCCCCATGGGAAGCAACGAGTTGGACGTCCGAGGTGAGGGTGACATGGAGGAGATCGTGCGAGGAGGAAATGAGAGCTTGTGGGCTGTCGTGGAACCAGGTTGAAAAGATTTCAGAGAACAGAGGTCACTTGAGACGTGCTAGTGAAGCCTAATGTTCCATTAGGAACCTAAGGGACTAATAATTAATTAATAATAATAAAAACCAGAGAATTTCAATGTAATGCTTCTTTTGAACTTTCACACAAATATGGTTGAAATAATCGTGTTAACATGCCCCTAGTCACTATTCATCAATACTATCAAATTAAGAAACTAATAAAATACCCCAGTAATCAAATAGGGTAAAGAACTTTGGCAACGAACCGACCATGAAGCTATCGCTAAACAAATATGCCTGAGGAAGTGGAGATGGATTGGGTATGCACTGAGAAGATCATTCAGAGACATTACTCACCAGGCCATAGAGTGGAACCCAGATGGGAAACTAAGAGTTGGGCGTCCTAGGCAGGGGTGACATGGAGGAGATCATGTGAGGAAGAAATGAGAGCTTCTAGGCAGTCATGGAGTCAGATTGAAAAGATTGCAGAAAAGAGAGTGGAATGGAGACATGCTATTGAAGCTTTATGCTCCACTAGGAACCCAAGGGACAAATAATAGTTATATTAACGTTGATAATAATATAAATGCCTTATAGAAATGTAATTTAACTCACTTTCATTTTTGATATTTGCAATGATTATAAATTGGATGTATATCTCCAAGAGTTAAGATGCAATCAGATAAATTTATGAAGTCGTAATCCATTTACAATGATTTTTTTTTTCACAAATAGTTAATAACTAATTATATATAACAAATGATAAATTGGTTACTATCCAGTTACATTTAATTAGATAATAATAATTAACAATGGTTATTCATGTGGAAAAAATTATGACAGTTCTTTAAAATTTTCTAGGATATTAAACTTTTCAGATTTTCGATTGTAGTCGCAAGAATTTCCTAAGATACTATTAGTTAATTGTGTTATTTTGTTAAGACATGATAGACAATTTTGATTGGTCCTATACATTGACCAAACATAACAGCAGATAATTCATTGAAAGAAATTCCCGTTCAATTTAAGGATTTGTGGGGATTTATTGATTTCAAGTTGGTATTCATCATAGAGTGACATCAGATGGATAAACATTGGAAACCTATGAGTACTGGACAGCTGTTTCGTCCCACTATGGGACTCTACCCAGCCAGGGATCGAATCCAAGACCTTCAGACTCCGTAGCCATTCAGCCATTGGGTAGGCGAAAAAGAATGATCGATATTTTCAATTTCTGTCAGTTCACGGCATAGAGTGATCATCATCCAATGTCATCATTGAGTACTTGTCCTCACGTCTTACTTAAGCCTTAAAATACCAAAGGATGGATTACACCCTACTTATCCATTAACTTAAGAGAGAGTTGAAATAATAATAGTAATAATATTAATAATAATGGTGGTTACAATTATAATCATGTTGCTAGTTGATGACGTAAAGGTTGGATAATAATAAAAAGGCGTTACGCAAGATTTTTAAATAGTTCATAAGGCGCATATAGATTACAAAGGAGTGAAAACGTGGTAGAGTTAATAAGCAATCAAAGTATTCGGTAGTATGAATGAGACAACAAGTTAATTGGAATAAATTGAAAATGTTTTGTTGAAAATGGCAATTATTAGGAAGATCAAATGAAGTAACACCGGAAACAGCGAAATATAAAAATAAAGTAATAACGACGATATAAGAGCATAAAGATAAAACCGATAAAAAACAAGGGAAGGGATTGAAAAACAAAAAGGGAACGAAGCATATAAAGACTAAGATAAGTTAAGGCCAAAGTAGGCACAGTCTTCTCACGATGAAAGTAAAAGTAAGCATAGAGACATGCAATATCCGCACAATGTTTGAAGCTGGCCGGTAAGGCTGCCCAGATTGCAAAAGAAATAATAAGATATGGCATAGAAGTGCCAAGAATCTGGCAACGAAACGACGAACAAACCAAAAACCTATAGCCCAACAAATATGCAGGAGAAAGTGGAGATGGATTGGATACACACTGAGAAGACGGTTTAGGGACATCACGCGCTTGACCAAGTCGTCGATTGGAACACAATTGAGAAACGACGAGTTGAGCGTATGAGGCGGGGGTGACATGGAAGAGATGGTGTGAGGAAGAAATGAAAGTTTGCTGGCAGGGAGTGGTGGAGCCAGTTTGAGAAGACTGCTCGGAAGAGAGTGACATTGTGACGTGCTACTGAAGCCCTACTTTCCACCAGGAACCCAAAGAACAAGTACTAATAATAAGGTAGATACAGAGACCATACATACTTCTTTTGACTACAAAGTTCAGGCTGGCTTCAGTTCTTGAATAGTCAGAGCCTCACCTGTTTTTAGAATCTGAACACGAAGGAAACATAAGGTGTTTGAGAGAATTCTATAGACAACCTTAAAATCATTGTTTGGGTGGGGTGAATGGTTGGAGTCGATTAAATGTTCAAGGATAGAACTTCTGATATGTTTCCTTTCACACTTATGAAACCAGGAGGGAATATATTCCCGTATACTTGTTGAATTGCATCTCTGACTGCGGTCGATGTACATTGCTTTACAGGAACAGGTGGAATGAAAGATATACATGTATATGGTCTTTTGAGGGATATTGTCTTCTATATAAATGGAGGACAACTTGCAAGTGGTAAAGATCAACCGAATTTCTGCTGCTAAATAAAGTCCTACTAATTGATTTCGAAAGACAATTTTCAAGATGCATGATGCTGCATCATCTTTAAATTCCAGATTCATGAACAAATTCTTTTCAGAAACTGGGCTGATGACTAATCTCTCATATTTTTCACGCATATTCTTATTGATAAATTGGCTAGGATATCCATTTCCCGATAGCGTCCCTCTTAGAAAGTCAAGTTCAACTTAAAAACGGTCCATGCCACAAATACTGCATATTCGATAACAGACTGAGTGAACGACGTTTCTCTTTCTCACGATCGGCACCCAGCTATAGAAATTAGTAAGCTATTCATTCTACATGGGTTTCTAGTAAATATATCTTTTCAGAATTCCATTGCTACGTCTCGTAATCAGTACGTCAAGGAAAGGAATAACTGATTCCAATTCCTTCCGATTCCCTGTAAACGATTTAAAGGTCTTACGCAGCCATTTTTGTAATCATTTGACCTTTACGTCATCGAATAGTAACGTTATTAACATGAAAGGCAGTAAAACTTTATCAACCCTGTGTAATTACATTATTCACATATTTCTGCCTCCATTTTCTTGAATGTTGCCTTCATGAATTACTTTCGAAATTATCAGTATACAATACCACATGCTAGCTAAACCAGTCAAAATTGAATAATAACCCTGTTCATGTCACCGCCAAATGTATTTTTGATTTCAAATGCATCTACGGTAGCAAGCACTTTGGAAGAACTGCGAGGAGGATATCTATTCGGTTGGCTGAACATATCCCCGAGAATCTGCACTTGAAAGAAAGTGAAGGTAACTAGTGCTATAACCCGACACATCGCAGATACAGGACATCAAGTTGAAACCTTGGGTGCTTTTAAGATTATAATTAAGGTACAACAACGTCTAGATTACTGTGCTTTGCTTCATGGAAGCGGTTGCAATAAAACGCTTCAAACGTGACCTTCTCATACAGAAGGAGAACGCAGTTATTCTTTCACTCTCCCGGTAAATATGGTTTAATCCTGCTTCACTTTTATTGTTTAACTCTTCATTTGTTAATAATCATGAAAAGTGGCAAGCAGTGGAATCCACGGCCTGCCATTTGTTCCATTTGGAACTCAGCTAGGTGTACCTGCCTCTCAGTCAGCGATGTCTTTCCCACTAGAACTCAAACTTGAAACCGATTGCTTCATGTGACCAAGAGTTATCCGCTAAGCCATAGAGTTACGGTAGGCACTCCTTGTGCGAAGGCTATAGTTGCCTATATTATCTCGTTGTTCAGTGGACAGAATTGAACGGTATCTATTAGTATATGGGCTCCTTTGTGGCTGCCTCGATATTGCCTGTATTTGAGTTATATAGTAATGATGGATGGTGGCTAGAAGTGGAATCTATCACTAATATATAACTCAAAAGCAGGCAGTCTCAAGGTATCCAAGCAGGAGCCTATGTGCCAACAGAGACCTATCAATTCCGTCCACTCAACGACGGGATAATACAAACAACAACATCTTTAGTTATTTGCCTAATATTTTTTCCTTTCTTACATTTCTTACCTCTTTACAATTAATTCACTTGTACGTTATATAGATTATCAATGATGCTGTTCTTGAGCTTGAGATTACTAATTTTCTAATTTAAAAATATTGTGCGTCCTAATAATCATTCTACTTGTATGCGTCTGAAGAGAATTTGTGAAGCAGAACGACGATATCACGTTATCCGGCAATTTTTTTCGTTCTTGCTTTACCGAAGTTATTTCATATATTTAATTCTTTTCACAAATTATAACAATGCAAGAAATCTACTGATCAACCTGTATGGTTTCCAAATACTCTAGTTATTCAATAGAGGTAACTTTGGAAAACCATTCCTCTACAACTGGGTCCTCGTCATCAGATTTACAATTATTAATCAAGTACAAAAAGGTTTAGTGGTTAAAGGGTCATCATTTCTACTTGCCAACTGCCTATCACTAGACGACTTCTCAGTTTTTCCATGTAAATAAGTAATCTACTAGCTCTCTAACAACCCCTTCGTTTGTTGTCTTGTCAGTTTATTGTACCCTCTTTCCTCCACCGCACTAGAATTTTCTGTCTCATCAGATATAAAATCCCACTAGTTTTGACTAAGTTTTGTGATAAATAATCCAGTGTTCCCATCACCTAACCTCCCCTGGTTAACTAGTCCACTAGTTACTAGCCGGTCCTAAGCCCGGGCAAAGAGGGAAGGTTGGGCATAGGGCTAGCAACCCTACCCCGTAAAACAAATCTAACCGCTAAAGAAACTTCAAAGCACAAACAAAATATAAAAAATGAAAACAAACTTATTCCCCGCTGGAATCGGAGAGGCGAAATGACGCCAGTTGGTGAAAGCCTTCGGGAAGCCAATTGGCCGATGTGTCTTTTCTCGATGAAAGCGAAAGTAAACGTGGGGACATGGAATGTCCGCACGATGTTTGAACCCAACAAGGCAGCCTAGATTTGGCCAGAAAGAATAAACAACAAGGAGCTCTGGGAACGAACCAACCAAGAACCTATCACGCAACGAATATGCAGAAGGAAGTGGAGTTGGATTGGGCATACACTGAGAAGGCCGACTGGGGACATCACGCGTCAGGCCAGACACTCGAGTGGAATCCCCATGGGAAGCAACGAGTTGGACGTCCGAGGTGAGGGTGACATGGAAGAGATCATGCGAGGAGGAAATGAGAGCTTGTGGGCTGTCGTGGAACCAGGTTGAAAAGATTTCAGAGAACAGAGTTCACTTGAGACGTGCTAGTGAAGCCTAATGTTCCATTAGGAACCCAAGGGACTAATAATAATAATAATAAATATAATCCCATGACCTACTACCATATCGTTAATCCTGTACTTCGAATCTCCATTTACTTCTACATACTCAAAGTGTGTGTTATGTCATTATTACTATCAATCTTTGATTTTATTTGTAGACTGTTTGCAGTTGATGAAAGTTTGAGAAATAAAATGAGCTCATTTTCTTCTCCAAACGTCTTTGTTCTTGCATTGTGCAGTTATGCAGCCCACAGCCACTAACCAGTATTTAAGTAATAATTGTAAATCTGATGACGAGGACCCAGTTGTAGAGAAATGTTTTTTCAAAATTACTTCTATTGAATAACCAGAGTATTTGGAAACCACACAGGTTGATCAGTAGATTTCACCCACCAGCCAGATCAGAGTGAGTTTAGAGGTGAACTTATCAGCGGCGTACTCAAATAAGTCCAGTGCACACAGCCAAACTACTTCAGGTCACCTTAATCTGGCTATCTGTCTTGAATGGATAAAATAACGAAAG